CCTAAACAGAATTAGCTTTACCATCTGAACTAAAACTTTTCACATTAAATTTAAAAATAAATCAATAAAACATTACATAATTCATATGAATTAAAAATATATTTTCAGATATAAATTATTTTTAAATTTTATAACGACATAACGAATTACGAATATTAAGAAATTTATTTTATTTTTTTAAAATTAATTTTCCGAAGATAGAAATTTAATTGAGAAATCAAAATTACATAGCAAACTAGTTTTTAAAATAACTTTATATAAATTTAATTTATTCTTTAAAAAAAAATTCAACTAATACGTATAGCCTATATATATAGCACATATATATATATATACGTGTGGTGTATATGCATGTTTGTGCGATGTAGAATTGGCATTATCTTTAATATATACAACATATAGGCCTACATATATATAGAGGCCTAATATATCTCGTATTTCTGCATAATTTTCATGATAATCTAAAATATTGAGAAAAAAAATGTAATAAATATTTTTTCCTGGATATTTTCAATTATCCCGAAAATTTTAAATAGTAATTACATTATATTACACTACTTTCTACATTTAAATTACTGTATAAAATGACAAAATATAAAACTTCTTGCATGAGTTTCACATGCTGTCTTATTTAAAACAGTTCTGTTTTATACTGTTTTCATGTTAACACAATTTTAAACATATATAATTTAAATAATTCTCCGTTATAAATTTCAACTGGCTGAAAAATCTGAAATATCTAAAAGAAAATTTCAAAATATGTCAGACATTTTTCTTTAGTTTTCTAATAAAATGATTACGAAAATATATTCTCTCTCTTATATAAACACTGTACTACACAATAATGATCAGTATATTCTCATGTAAAAATTTAAGATGAAGTTAAACTTCTCTTCCACGTTTGTTAAGAAAACAACAATAATTTATAAATTTTTAAATACAATTTAAAATTCTCAATTCTCATAAAATAATAATTTGACTCGAACTTTATTTTGTTGTAATTACCTTAATTAATGCTAACAAAATCAGGGAGATAAATGTTATTTCAAGACAAATATAACGTAACAAAGGCAGGAAAACAATCTTCCTAATACGATTTCTACTAGAATTAATGGAATTCGATGTAAGCCTTTATCAATGGAATAAGGATGAAACTGAATAGTTTCATAAGAAAAAGTAATCAACAACGTAACATTCTTTCTAGTTAATACTTTTTTAACAAAGAAACTCAGTCTATAGAAAAGCATGTTTTGAGAATATTTTATATAAAGATTCGGAATCAAATTCAGTACATCATTAGATATATAAGAAATAATAACAAGTTATTTTATACAGTAGAAGAATCAACAAATCTGTCAAAAGCAGACTTACGACAGGATATGAAATCTGTTTATACAGACGATATAACAAAAATACAATAAAACCTACTACTGACATTACTTCTTTTCAGATATGACATTAAGTAACAGTCGACTGTTTTGACGTGGACAATTTTCGTAGTTTTTCAGTATTATTCTATATAAACATTTAGAAAAATAAATAAAATAATAATTTTTCTTTTTGGAGATCAATCAGGAGTTTTAAAAATCATATTATTTATTGAATTCTGTTAAAAAAAAAAAAAAAAACAATTGTGAACTAGTGTATCGTGTAACGCGTTGTTACAGGCGAAGTCATATTTTGATCAAGTTAGATATTTTAATGAGTTGTGGCTAGTTTTTCCTAAAAAAAAAAATAATTCTAGACTCAAAGATGATGCAGTTCAATAAAATTAATATTTAAGTTAAACTACGTTAATTAAATTTTAATATAAAAATGTCGAAACAATACATATAATGAAGATAGACATAAAAAACAAACTTCCTTTACATAAAGNTCTTATTTCCTACTGCCATCTGTTGACACAAAAACACGACACGCACAAAACAACTGAAAATTACTAGACAATTCCTCCTCCTATCTACATAAAATTTCAAAAGTAAAAAAATTAAAATAACAATAATCAATAGCTTATTATGGATTCTTTTTCTAGCTTATTTTCTTTTAATTACGTATAGTTAAATTTATTTTGTTTGTCGGGCAGATGAGATAGAAGTGAATAGAAGTAATCATTATGTCAGCGAATTTCGAATGCCTTTACAGACACACACACGTAAAGATGCAATTTCAAGAGAAAGAGAAAACAGCACAATAGGGAATCATTACCAGCAAGAGAACTTATTGCATTCGTAACGATTCTATATTTAAAATGGGTCCAACCTACCGTATATATTGAATTTCTTACAACGAATTCATACAAAATTAAATTTAAATAAAATAACTATTAAAGAAAGATGGTACGTCTCGATAATTATGGCAACAGAACTCGGGCGAATTAACGGTAATTAATTCAAAACTACAGTTTTTTAAGATTATTATATAATAAATGATTAAACAAACATGTAGAAATAATAAATATTCCCAAAGCGGCATGCACTTAATATCTAGCAACATCTCATACATTACACACACTCCTAAAAGAAATTTATCATTTAAAATTTATATCGAATGCATTAGAATTGCAGAACTTATTAAAATTTCCATTAAGTAAAATCTCAATAAGTTTATTTTAAAATATTCTTTGGCTGAAGTAAAACGATTCTTTCCCAGTTGATATCAATATAACGATTGAAACGAACATTAAGAATAAGATCGAGAAGTTAAGATTTTGAGTATTGCCATTATTTTTCCCGTTAACGAAATATGTTTTATAAAAGACTACTCTTTTTATCTATTTTAACTAGTAACCTACTTTAGAAAATTCAAATATTCGTTTAATAAACAATGTCAAAACAATTCCTAAATTGACCGTGAAACAGAATCGATTCTACGTTAAAATTTCATTCAATAAAATTTAAACAATTTTAAAAAAAAACANTTTTTCTAGTTTTCCTATTTAAATAAGTAAAAAATAATAATAAATAAATAAATATTAAACTGGAGTAACTGAAAAATTTACTAAATAAAACTGATAGTTATAAGTATGTAATGATATAAAATGTATTTACAGATACTGTACATTCACACATACAAGATTTATATTATACAATATTAGTAATCTGAATCTGTTTAAACTTCAAATTTAGTATAACTTGCATTTTTCAATAGTCAATAGTCTAACAAAGATCCAAACATTTAATATGTATGCATTTTAAAATATTCTGAAAATACAACAGATGTAATTAATGTATAATTCAATAAGCAAATGATTTTAAATATATAGATATGTATATATAAATATAATATGAAGGTAGTCTATTAAATGCACTAGTCTAAAAACTAATGACCTGTTAACATAATTTTAACTTTACTCAATATTTAATTTTAAAAATAAATATTTAAGCATTTAACAATGATATTATCAGGTCTCTCTTATTTTATATAATATAAAGATAATTTATGATGTGAGAAATACTCATTTAACTGAAAAATATTTATGAACTAAAGAAAGTTTTGATACTTAATTAAATTGATGACTGTCTACTAGTACTGTATTTACAAAATTGTCAAATAAATAAAACTAAAGCAAATATAAATTTAAGTCTGTAAACTTGTTATCGCTTTGTAGATTTAGATTATACATTAACAACAAATGACTAAATGATACAAGAAACACAGACCTAATTTTATTAAAATTATACAAATTTATATAAATTAAAATTTATGAAATATCTTTTTAATAATTTAAGTAAGTTAAGAAAAAGCATCTGAATCTTAAAAGTATGAGAAATTTAAATGGTCATAAATGTAAATTTTTTTAATTTCATGTATCGAATCAAGTATTACACAAGTATTAAACTCTCTCTCTCATTCATGATAAGCAATTATACGAAAGATAGCAAGCAAAGTTTTAAATAATTATATAATCCCGAATCAAATAGCTATTATTTTTCATTATTATTTTACTCTAATAACATTTCCATTCTTTAAAAATATTCGTGACTTTCTTTCCCAGTCAATGATAATGATCATTTATTACGAAAAGAAAGCATTCTCAACTATAAAAAGAAAGTAATTATAAAAAATTATAATCTTATATAAAGTGAAATAGAAATTTTCTGATGAGAAAAATGTAATCGGTAAAAATCAGATTGATTACTTGCAACTTAAATAATTTCAAAATTGCAAAAACTTAATGGAAACAAGTGCTGGTAAGAAAAACTAGGATGGTGCTCACGTGTTCTTTTAATGAATTATACAAAAGACATAATCAAATGTATTCTAGAATTGTATTTTATACATATAATATAAATTCAGCATTCCACAACATACACTTAAATGCATAGCCACCCTGCTCTTTTGCATTTATGCACTCCAGCGACGAGAAATTCTACATTTGTTTGTTCGGAATTTCAAATAAAGTAAGAAAAATATATTTTATTTTACTTGTTTAGAAAGAAAATACCGAACACATTGAAAATGTGAGAACACAAACGCAGAGAGCATATATATAAGTGCCATCGAGTAAGTCACATTTATGTGAATGACCAAGTAAAACTTTAAACAATCGATATGAACAAAAATACGTTGGTAAATTATATTATTATGCGTATAAGGATGCTTATACAGAATCTACAAATAATTTATGTAGTTTGTTCACAACAACGAAAATAAGAATTTTAACCTACAATAAATATAAGGAAACAATTCATACGTAAACAATCCTTCCTTATTCCTGCAGACTAATATAGCAACTACACGTAATACCAATACAATAGGTTTAATAAATTTTCCCACAACTGCTCCTAAATGTTATAAATATTATTTTTAGTATGAACATAAAATATTTCTTTAAGATTACCCCAGCATTTATCATCTGTGAAAACTTTTAGAAATATTTTCAAAGTTTTATAAGGTATCAAATTTTGTAAACTGATAGAATTTATTAATTATAAATCATTCTTCAACTTTTTCTGCTATCAATGAAAGCTATTGAAATAAGTTAGAAGGACGTGACTTACCTCTTCTGACCGGCCAACAAACTACATATATAAAGCTGTTGAAGTTGAGCACTTGTAAGTTCACCAGCCATGATTATAAAAACCACCCCCATCCCACTCCATCGTAGACATAGACGGAAATAGGGTTCAGAATAACTGCAAACAGATGAATGCGATCAACAATAAATTTACAGACATATCGCAGCACGTGCGCCGGAAATTGCATCATTACGCCACGTGATCGTCCATAGCATCATTTTACAAGTTCACAATTCTTTCCTTGTGTGTCGAGTATTCCGGATCTCGATCTACCAACCCTGGTGACGTCACGCGGGCAGCACGTGGCCGACTGATGGCTAAAGGAGCTATCCCCTCTCTACTCTTCTCGGCAGAAACCAGCATAGTTACTGCGCATCTGGCGGATTGTCCGGAGCCTCGTTCTGGCCAACGCGTTCAAGGATAAACGGACAAAGGCTGTTCAATAGAGTGAAGGAGAAATCAATGGGGACAGACGGCGTCTAACACGCACACACGTGGCGACAGACGGACTCTACTACAGTCTGCATCTAGGGCAATCGCTTTACTTTACGCGTATGCGCGTTGGCCCGAACGACAACGGCAGAAACCAGTTGGAAAACTCCCCGTACATCAATTAAACTCGAAAAAACTCTCTGGGACAGACAATCATCCGGTCCAAATAAGCGAAGCAAGCCGAGCATCGATAATGGTGCTTAGTTATTTGTGTCCTTGATGCCAGCGAATTACGCACTTGTACGTTCATTAGCGTTTAATGCTGTGACAAGATCTTTAAGCCCCGTCTAAGGTCAATCTCTGTAATGATTCTAGAAGACGTGTTCTTTCGAGGATTTCGGATTCTACTTCATTTATCTTTGACATCACCTTTAAGTTTAAACCGAAATGCTGTCACACACACCTGCTCACTTCCATCCGAAATGGAAGAAAATGTAATGTGCATTCAGATGAATATCGTCTTTTCTCCTCCGATTCCTCAATTCGATTGTTAGGGAGGAAAACAGTTCATTAGCCTTTTAAAAGAATTTAATTGAGCGAAAAATAGAAGAAATCTTATTAAATCTGATTAAAAAACAGGATTCAATAAAATTAGCAAACTTTCGTAGAGTCCAGGGGAAAAAATATATTGCCCATATAAATGTAGACATATTAAATATCGCTTCTGGATAACTCAATTTTGTTTTTAATTAAAACTTTTACACTGAAACATCTATCGTATGATCTCTAACGAAGAAATCTGAAATGCTTTAACCTGTACACCATAAATGAGCTGGATTTTGCAAAATGAAAAGATGTAAATTACATTATTTTTTTAAAATGAAACTTTAATCATCAAGTAAGAATTTTTCAAATGCAACTGAAAGTATTGTTTGTATTTAATTAAAGAAATTAATTTTTATGTAAATAAATTATGTGCCCGCACAGCAGAATTAATAAGTTTGCGCTTCCAGAAGTTTATGAACTAAAAACTTTAATGGACTACATCGAATCAAAATCCTTTCCAAATATTTTCTTTATTCTAAAAGAATTACAATTTTTTCTTTTACTTATTTTAGTTATAAAACAAGTAAAAGGGAAAAAAACTATAATTCTTTTAGAATAAAATATAAAAATTAAAAATTATATTTTCTTTGCTTTTTAATGCACGAACGTCGTACCTAAACGAGATTAAGTATATTTCTTATGAATATGTATACAAGATTATAAAAAAATGCATCCTTCGTTTCCTAAGAAACGTATTAAATTGTTATTGTTAAATTGTAATTCATTAAATTCCTTTTAATTCAAATTAAAAGGAATTTAATAAATAAATATAAATGAAAGTTTTATGTATAAAACTGCTTAAATTAAAATAAGCATATTCTTTACATATAACTTACATAATTGGAAACTCACTATAAATTATATTGATTTAAAAAATTAAATACGAATAAAAAAATGTTCGACAATTTCAGCAAAGTTTTAAACAAATATTTGTTCGCAGGTTTAAATTTTTTACTAATAAACAAACAAACAAAAACTAATTAAAAATAAAATAGCTATTTTAAATATTAAATCTAGTATTTACTAATTTTCCAATAATTACATTAATTCAGTCACAAAATTAGCTCCAAGTTACCAATTACTAGAAAAAAATATTGTGTAACGCAGTAGATTTTATGCCTATAGTACTGTACTGTACATCCAAACAATAGTGTAGGCTGTAGAGTATATTTAATTCTGAGTATAAGTGAACATAACGAAAACTGACAGATTTATAAAAGTAAAAATAAGATTAAACCGACATCACGTTCCTATAGAATGCTATTTGTATTCCGTTAGTGATGTCTAGGGATTTTAAACCGGATGGGTTTGCCCCAAACATATCTATATTATCGAAAATAACATCAACATCAGCAAAGCAATTCGGGTGATTCCCTATTTCTAATCTAACACTATCATCCGATTTCGGCTTTGGAATCGGATGGCTTTGTGGCAGGAAAAGAAAGGACAAGATCTAATTGCTAGCAATGATAAATGACCAATCGATAGAGTATAACCGTTATATCATACTGTTGTTAATTATGAAATGTAAACAATCAAAATATCATATTTAAATTACCCTATTCTTTGTTTATTGCCTTATTAATCGTACACATTCTCGTAAAATAAATTATTTGGAAACATTGCTGATTAAATAAATAAATCAAGAGTTTATCGAGATGTTTTTGCGTAATAAAAGTCTCTTTTCGAATTATTATTGCGAGTATTTAAAATGAAGATAGGAAACTCTGATAATAAATTAACTCGCAACTCGCTTTTAAAAAATCGCTTTTTAATATTTAATCTAATTTGATACCATAATAAAAGTCTTGCAGTCTTGAAAATGTTTATACGACATTTTCGGAGTGGAAAAAAAAACCAAAAGCGAGAGAAATTGCTTTAGAATTGTAAATATTGAATCGCATTCTAAAATCAACAAAATCCACTTAGCAATAAACGTAAAGAAAAAGGATATAAAAATGTATCCACGATTTACCTCTGCCATTACTTAATTTAAAGAATTTCTGATAAAAATTTATTTTAAAAAACTTGACAGCTGTTCGTAGATTTTATGGAGTTTTATTAAAATTCAAATACTTTCATGTTTGTTTTCTATAAAAATTTTTAAGAATATAGCACTTTTTCTGCCCAGACAGAAAAGTATTTGAAATATTATACCTTAGTATCTTTAATTGATGTTAAAATTACAAAAATTTCAATAAATTTTTACGAAAATACTGTAGATCTTTACATGTATTACATGTATTACATGCTTACCGGGTATAAAATATATTCATTGTAAAAAAATAATTTTAAAAGTTAAAAAACTTATCCCAACATATCAAGTGTCTATGTAGAAAGAATATATTTATATACGAAATCTGTACAAAACAGAAAGAAACCTTATTGCAACTTATCAGCATATTTTAAAATTATTTTGTGCAAGGGAGTAATTTTTTTTAAGTTTTAATTATTTTGCTTTAAGCAATTTCCTTAGAAAGCAATTGAAACAAACTCAATATGAACTGCAATTTTTTATAGCTTCCAGCAATATCATAAGAACGTCTACTTTAAAACTTTTAATTAACTGCTAACATATTGAGAAAACACACTGAAATAATTTTACTTCAAAAAAGACGAAATTAACTAAAACCAAAACCAATTTATTACTTTAATCGAAATTTCATCTTGTAATGACTCAACATAACCACGAATAACCATTTTCAATCAATAGCCTGATGACTAATATCTTATATTATTGTTAACATCAATGAGATTTGATACTGCTGTAACTTACACGTAATAAATATATAACACAGGATATATTCGCACATTTCCCGTCAAAGCAATCGAATTACACTCGGAAATCGTGTTATATTTTAGCATCGATCAAAATTATTTCACATCCTATCCGGACAACGAATATTTCGCGATTACTTAAATTGAAAATATAGCGTTTTATATAACCAAAAAGAATAAAAACCAAAAAAGATGTACCAGGTATTCCTCTCAAACGTCTCTAGTTTTGTGGACTTTAATTTTGGGAAAAGAAATGTGAGTATAGTACGATAGACAATGCCAATAAAAAGTGCATCTGAAAAACTTAGTTACTACATTAAATCAGTATATTTCCACATAAGAAGCTCTTGACGTGGCATGCACGATACCCAATCTTTTCTTGATTTTAGCCCAAGTCAGCATGTTAGGGGTCACGCTGTTAATGGCATTCGCGATTCTTGTACGCGGGGCTCTCGTGTCTAGCATTTTTGTAGCATACATACGATCCTTGACATACTAAGAAAAAAGTTCAGAGATGATGTCAGGTGATCGGACGGACCAAGAAACTGAGTCCCAGCAATGTAGACCGTGCAGTTGCAGAGGCCTTTTCAAGCGTATGTACACGAAATTTGGAGTATTGACCGACATTCTCCAACACATTCTATTTACATATCTGAATATATGGATTTTACAGAAGTTTAAAGGTGCGGACGTTCGAGGAGAACACCCTGTATACTATAGTATATATTTAATTAATCTATTTCTTCAAACTTAAGATAGACTTTTAAGAAGTTTCACTCCTAAAAAAAAGCAGCGCATTGTGAAGCGATTCGATTTTGATCGTGAAATTTCGTCCTCACGCACAATTGCGTTTAGAAAACCGTGCAGAGTTTCAATAATAAACTTTCAGCCTTCATTATGTCAATGAATAGCATCAAACAAGAAATTTCTCCATTGTTAAAATTTTTATTGCGGTGCCAGTTGGTACTTAGAAAGTGTCAAAAAGTTTATTATCTACCTAATTCGTATATGCATAATGAGAAACAACTTTACCTCTCGACGACATATAATTTATATTCCATGTAATGAATATGCGAATTTTTATAATACTTGCATAGATAAAATTTCAGCTCCAAACTTTAAAAATCTCAGACGTAATTTAAAATTAAAATTCCGAGTTTCTCTTAAAACTTTCATCGACTTCAAGCGATTTCTCCTTCCCTTAATAAACCTGTTTTAATTTACTTAATTTAGCAAGAAAATAACAAGTTTAGGTTTGTAAATAAAATACTAAAAATAAAAATTAATTTTAACAAAACCTAAATTTACAAGTAATTAGTAATTTTTAAAAAATAAAATTCTTTGCAAATACTTTACATTGTAGATTTGATGCTGCAGAATAAACGTGACCAATTACTTATGCTTAAAGAAACGTTATTTTTTTTAAAAGTAAAAAGATTATTAAATAACTTAATGAGAAACTATAATTATTCGTTTTTACATTTTTAATAAAGTGATAATATTCATAGCAAGAACATCTAGAATTAATCAGCTTTGAGAACGAGTGAATGATTAGAATTTCATTAAAAAATATACGTATATAAGTTGATTAAAGACATCAAAAATATCACTTTTACGGAATTTTTGTAATTCGGAACTTAATTATTAAACTTTTCTTAATTTAATATTACACATTAATTTATTTTATTATTTTTTTAAATTCAGAGAATCGTTTTATACGTATTTAAAAAAAAAACTAATTAATTTAAATTTCAGCTTTTATTAAACGAAAAAAACCGATTTTATTTTATACTTTTAAAATATAAAAATAGCTCGAAATTGTTTTTATATGTAGTATATAATCAATTCAATTGTATACGAAGCAAGACAATGTTCTTATTTCCTACTGCCATCTGTTGACACAAAAACACGACACGCACAAAACAACTGAAAATTACTAGACAATTCCTCCTCCTATCTACATAAAATTTCAAAAGTAAAAAAATTAAAATAACAATAATCAATAGCTTATTATGGATTCTTTTTCTAGCTTATTTTCTTTTAATTACGTATAGTTAAATTTATTTTGTTTGTCGGGCAGATGAGATAGAAGTGAATAGAAGTAATCATTATGTCAGCGAATTTCGAATGCCTTTACAGACACACACACGTAAAGATGCAATTTCAAGAGAAAGAGAAAACAGCACAATAGGGAATCATTACCAGCAAGAGAACTTATTGCATTCGTAACGATTCTATATTTAAAATGGGTCCAACCTACCGTATATATTGAATTTCTTACAACGAATTCATACAAAATTAAATTTAAATAAAATAACTATTAAAGAAAGATGGTACGTCTCGATAATTATGGCAACAGAACTCGGGCGAATTAACGGTAATTAATTCAAAACTACAGTTTTTTAAGATTATTATATAATAAATGATTAAACAAACATGTAGAAGTAATAAATATTCCCAAAGCGGCATGCACTTAATATCTAGCAACATCTCATACATTACACACACTCCTAAAAGAAATTTATCATTTAAAATTTATATCGAATGCATTAGAATTGCAGAACTTATTAAAATTTCCATTAAGTAAAATCTCAATAAGTTTATTTTAAAATATTCTTTGGCTGAAGTAAAACGATTCTTTCCCAGTTGATATCAATATAACGATTGAAACGAACATTAAGAATAAGATCGAGAAGTTAAGATTTTGAGTATTGCCATTATTTTTCCCGTTAACGAAATATG